AGCTTTTGGGCACGGGCCGGGCGTCCGCTTCCCCGCGGACCGGAAACGGGGCGCCGCGCGGCCGCACGTGGAGCCTCGGCGGGCGCGAGGGGCGGCTTAGCTCACGGAAGACGAGACTGCCCCGCGTCTGCTGTAGCTGGCACCTAGGCGTCCGTCCCCAGTGCTCCCGACTCGGAGGGACGTCAGCCACCAACTCTGACTTTCTGTTTTGTCTCCCTTTGATTCTTGAGCACATGTTGCAGGCTTGCAAAGCCCTGCATGTAATTTACTTTTAGAATAAATCTGAGTTGGCTCAGCTTTCTGGTCTCAACTCAGGGGCGAAAGAAATTCAAGTAAATGTGACAGACCTAGATTGTCAAAGAGGGTCCTTACTTAGTTTCATAACTGACCTGAAGTTCAAAGTGAATTTGTTCGTAGAAGTCTTAACATGGAGAAGTCTTAACTGGGTGGGGTTTAGTATTTAAATAACTGCTTACAGTAATAACTGATCGCGGTTGTGGCTCTACCTTATTGTGGAAGTTGGGTTCGGACCCAAAAGTGATAGACTTCCTCTCATTCCCCCAGATCCTTGACAGGATAACTTGATGACTTCTAACCTTAAGGAATTGCATACCTTGGTTTTCAGGTACAGCCAATTTAAGCAGGGTGCAGTGTGTTGACAGTTGAAGGAAGTCAAGGATTCGCGTGGACTGGTGCACTACAGTTTTGTTTTGGAAAATTGTACTGTAATACTTGTATTGGTGCTGTAAGAATTTTTTTAATGTAGAAACTTCTGTAATTTTTTAAAATAAAACTTTTTAAACTGTTTGGGTTTTTTTACCTTTTCAAGTAAAAGAGTTGTGACAGTTGAATGCTCTTTTTGAGAGTAGTGTCTTAAATCTAACTTTACAGATAAACTAAGTGTGTAGTAGAGATTGTTTAGTGCAGAAATGAATTTCAGCACATTACTTATGAGAACAGTGCCTTTTCTTACTTGTATCAACTTAGAGTAGAATGGTACCATTTGTTTATCATTAAGTGATTTGTTTTTAAAAAATTAAAGTACTTGTCACTGCAGAATGTTGTCTTTTGGTTTTATTTTTGTTTCTCTTTATAAGTTTTACGGATCATACTCTCAAGTTGGGTGTTACTTTTCCCTGGAAATTAATTTGTAGTTGTTCTGCAGCCAAGGAAAGGGAAAGCTTTGATTAAAGACAGCACTACAGAACACTTTAGAAATTTAGTTAAGTCTTGCTTCTGTAAGTACTTTGGACGGTCCCAAAAGCTACAATCTGAAATAAAAGCTGAGTTCAACTAATATACCTGTTAAATGCGTATTAAATTTTACAGATAATTTCAGTTCACAGAAGTAATTTTGACATTTATACTGCATGGCTGTCATTAGATCATAGAATAAGGGGGTCCCTTTTTTTGATAAACAAGGGTTATCTTTTTTTCCCTTCAGACTACCATTTTCTGTCATCTACTTAGAATTTTTCATTTCCCAGCTAACCAGAACTATGCATAATCAATAAAGCATAGACCTCAAAAATAGATACTAAACTTAGTAGATTGCAAAGTGCTTGGTATCCAAGCTGCTCTACAAATGTGTGGTTCATGCTGCTCGTGGTGGGTCATATGAGTATAAGGCAATATTGAGAGAAGGATGTTATGGTGTTGAAAATGTATACTAGACATAAAACAATGGAGCTAACCTTGAGTAACTTTTTAATAATTTGTTGAAGCATTTTGTACTTAATAGTTAAACTTGGTTAAGCCTTTTCTTAGATTCCAGTAACCTAGAACCTCAATGTCTTATTTTGGTCATGAAGAATGGAGACAGATTTAGGTGAGGATAGTTTTAATATACCATCTTACTTAGCATTTCATGACCAAAATATATCTGTAGACTTGCAAGGAGAAACATACCTAATGATTATTATGTTTTGTTTCTGTAGTAAACTGGATAAAATCCACAGTCTTACAACACTGAGAAAAAACTGTTAATGTATCCCCATTTAGCCAGTTTGAATAAAAGCTGAACACAGTGGCCTAATTATGCATGCTGCTTAATTTTTAAGAAAAAACCTTAAATAGAAGCCCTCATTCACCACTCTAGTATGGAGGTGAAAAATTTAATTTTAGAATTTATATTTTTTATTACAGGAAGATAGCTAGGAAGATAGCTAGGTTATAACCAGTTGAATGAGTGGGCCATTGATGTTAGAGACTGAATGTTTTGCTGGGGATTTAGCTCAGTGGCACAGTACCTGCCTGGCAGGTGCTAGGTCGTGAGTTCAATTCCCGGTACCGGAAAAAAAAACAAGAGATTGAATGTTTGAATTTATAGGATGTAGGAAACTGCAATTTACCCAAACCATAATGGTTTCTGAAAGCTTTGGTTTTAGTGAATTGAAAATGTAATTTTTTTTAGCTCATAGGGAAATTATCAACTTTATGAGACAAATAAGTCCCTCTGGGCGATAAGAAAAAAGTTTGAGAGAGGGCAGGTGTCCTATTACAAGATTTTATATTCTAATTTCAAATTTGATTATAATTTTATTCATAATCTTAAATGTAGTGATATGCCTTCACATTTAATTGAAGGAGAGTACATTACTAAAGAAATCAAGTTTTCAAAATAAAAGAGTTTTATGTTATAATTCTCTTACAGCAACGTCATTTTAGGATAGATGTTTAAAAGTTGGTTTAATATAGTACTTAGCAAACTGGAGCCACGTGTTTCCATGGTACAGTAGTTTAACTTTGCATTGGGTTGCGTAGAGTGCACATAACCTTTTTATGGGTGGAGACTTAACTTGTAACATGGAATGGCTTAGATGGGATGTTTGATGTATTTGAGAAGTAGGTGATGATACCATGTTGATATTAGTTTGAAACTGTTAGAAGTATGGTCTGGCTACCATAACCCAAACAGCTTGGTTATAGGGTTCTAACTGAACAAAATAGTTTTAAACTCCTGCCTTTTCTCTCCTTCACTGCTGGCCCCATATACAGAGGTATTAAGCCCAAGTACTTTATAAACAGTTTTTTTTATTATTATTATTATTTAAGGGAGGAGATTGGAAATGTTTGCATATTGTTAATATGATAAAAATAGTTAAGTGCTATATTTTTTTTAATTAAAAAAAAGTCTTAAGTCCAGTGTGGTGGCCCATGCCTGTAATAAGTACACTGATGTAAGTAATAGGCTTGAAAGTTTCTTATTTTTTGAAAGAAACAAACTCCTTTTTTTCCCCCCACCAATTAATATTTTAAGCCACGTTTTTCAGCCCTTCTATTTGGACCTGTAAAAATCAGTCCAGGTTTCTCCATCGATATATATGAAACCTCAGTTACAGTAGAAACAAAGTTAAATTATAGTTTGCATTAGAAAGGAATTGAGAATTATTTGGGGTTTTTGTATTAGGTATCAAACAATCCAGATACAATCAAAGCGTTGGGTAGTAATAAAAATACTTCGGTTTTCTACCACATGGAAGGTATTTTTGAGTACAAGTTTCAAATGGCTTAGGAGGATTATGTGGAAATGATTCCCACAACATGCATGTAAACTTCTGCGATGTATTTTTCTAGGGAGAAGGTTCACACTTGGTATCAATTTCTCATAGTATTGGTAATAGACCAGGACAGTTCATGTTGAAGGTAGCTGTCCTAGAAATTTCAAACAGAGGCATTATGGTTTTGTCTCAATATGGCACTATTAAAAAGTTAATAGTAGAAGTAAAATAATTGAAATTTTAAAGGATATAGGCAACCCAGGAAGGAAATTACTGAACTACATAAAATGGAGCTCTTGAAAACTTACATGCCTGAGTACCTAAATATTAGTGTAAACTTTTGTATTATATACTTTGATACTTAAAGTTGTAGATTACTTTATATTTCACTTTCTCAAAATAGTAACAACTGATGGGCTTAGGTATTTAAATGTGTATCCTGGGTGCTTCATCAGCAGTGGAATTTTTTACTAAGTTACATTTTCTTTTGGTCAATAGGGCTTAATAAAAAAGTACATCTAAATATATAGTAAACAAAGGGAAAAGGCTGCACTTGAAGGCTTGTTCAGTCTGTGGGCGGGATTAAATATTAAACCTATCACTCCTAATATTTTATTTAAAGTGGGTGCAGATTTGAGTTTTCTATTCCGTTCTACTGTGTCATGATATTTAGTGAAAGTGACAAACTTTTAACTGCCTAGCAGTTAAGCTTTTGGAACATTAAAATGTGTGTGTTTGTTTTTTTTTCTTCCGGTACCGGGAATCGAACTCACCACGTCGTGCTTGCCAGGCAGCGGTACCGGGAATCGAACTCACCGCGTCGTGCTTGCCAGGCAGGCGCTGTGCCGCTGAGCTAAATCCCCAGGCCCTGGGACGTTAAAATGTGACGTTTATATAATAACTTTCTAGTAAGACTAGCCAACCTATGAGGAAATTAGAAAAGGATTCAACGATTTAAACAACTTGATAGAACTGCATTCAATGTCACTTGATGTGCTATGTCCAGCATGTTTATAAATTGTAGGAAAATCTTAAGGCTTGTAATTACAGTGACTTTGAGCTTTTACACGATTGTAAACATTATGAACACCCAGCAGGTTCATCCACTGTCTCCACTGTAGGTAGAACAACAAAACAAGACAAAACTTGCTGACCTTAACAAATCTGTGACACTGTCTACATTGTAGCTTTTATGAAATCAGCTGTTTGAAAAATAGAATAAAAGTTACCTTTAAAAAGTTAGGGTCAGCTTTGAATATACATTATGAGGACTTGCTGAGTTTTGCAACAAATTATTAGAGCAAGTCATTTTGATTGAATGTACCTTAGTATTAGAAGGTACTGACTGCATAAGTAGGATCTGATCTTACAGTGACTCAAGGGGCAAAGATAACTCAAGGTTTAAAATGTCTTGTGGATGCCTTAATGTCAGTTCTAATCTTCATTGGGATGAGCTGTTTGGCAGTTTAGACTCTCAAGTGCTGTTGTATCTCCTCTGACAAAAAGTACCGTTCACTAAATGAACTTTTGTCTCCAAATATTACTAGTTTTCTGACCTACCTTTAAGGTAAGTTTGAGGGTTGAATAAGGCAGTAATATATGTGTAAAAATGATGCATAGATGATTTTACTGTTACCAAAGACAAGTTGAAGTTTTATAAGGATTTTTTTATTGGTGCTGAAAAACGAGTTAACATTTGTGTCATCCCTTGGGATTGCCTGTCAGAAAAGTGCTAAATGTGCTCTCCCTCCTTCAAGAGCTGTAGGATGTAGTTATAAAAAACTGCCTTTAAATTTAGGTAATTACTAGTTGAGAAAAGCAACACGGGGAGTTACTAGACTAAGTCTTAGTCCAGCCTCTGATCTACATTGGTGAACCTGTGTGCTCTTACGGAGGTCTTCTTGGCGATAAAATGAAGTGATCCCGTGGTAGTTTCCTACCATAATGAACTGTGTGCCCAGTATAATTAAGTCTGTTTCCAAAGTATTTCTGGTGCTTATCTAATAGTCATTAAATTTTGAACTGGTGACTTCATTTGCATATTATATAAGCCTAGCTTAAAGAAGTAAAGGTAGTCAGCGTGTGTGGATACAGTAACTGGTTCCTGTTTAGTCTCAAAAGCTCAAGTTCTAAAGCCAGGCTATGCAGAATTTAAGGCAGTAGCAAGTAGAGATATTCGAGGTGGAGACTCATTGTGCAAAGACTGAGAGAATACAGACATCTATTTTTATTCACTTTTGTAGCAAATGTTTATTGCTTAATTGCTGTGGGCCAGGTACTATTCTAAGCCCTGTTGATACCACGATGAATAAACCAGGATTGTTTCATGATCTCACATTCTAGACTCTGGGCTCCTATGGAGTCAGAAATTTTTCTCTGTTTTGTTTACTGATGTGTTTTCTGTGCCTGAAATAGTGCCTGACGTAGTAGTGTTCAGTTATCTGTTTAAGTGCTGAATTTTTGTAAGAGAGTACAAAGAACCAAAAAGAACTGTACTAGAGTAAAAGTACAATGTGGCTCTTTGGTGGCAGCAGAACAACAAATAAATAATTCAGT